CAACTGCGTGAAACACACAGTAGTATGAAACTTCAACTGCGTGAAATACACAGCAGTATGAAAATTCGGCTGCGTGAAACACACAAACTTGACGCATGCGTTGAGTGTATGGAGTGTACGGGAGTGATTCACGCAATGGTGCGAATAGTCATGGCCAAAAAAGAACTTGCCAAGAAATTTTTTTGGGAATATTAATATTTTCGACATTTGACACCCTCTCTATTTCGCAATGCATAATCGCCAATGAACTCACCAACTAATAAATTCATAAATCTCATATATTATATTTATTCTCGTGCTATCCATACAAAAGGAAAATGAAATAAAATTTACCTGTAATGTGACTGCGATCATAGCTGGACCCAATGCTGCTAGCAGTAAGAGTGGACATCCTCATGGTCTTGAGCCCAGCCTTAAGATCTTTAACACTATTCTTGTGCATTAAAACCGGTTTCCCCGACCTCCCCGGCTTGGGTGACAGTGGATCCCCAGCCGAGTCATGTAGACAAATATCCGGCAATTCATCATTGCCCGCAATTTTCTTGCGACAGTAGTAATACCCAAGTACAGCAGTCGACAGTACTCCAACAAGTACCAAAACAACAATAAGGTAAGCGGATTTACCAGTCTCCACAGTGGGCCCAATCTCCTGTCTCCGATTATTAGTAGACGTGCAGACATGCGCCGATTCATCACTCCCATCAGCGCAATTTTCCCAGCCATCGCACAGAGCACTGCCAGCAATGCAAGCCAGTGTGACAGCACACTTGAACTGACCTGGCTGACAGCAATGAGCCTCGTCGAAGCCATCCTGACACTGTGGAGTGCCATCGCACACCCAGGAGACGTCGATGCACTGGCCACTCTGACACCTGAATTGGTCGTGTCCACAGGCAGGACAGCCCAACTCATCACTGCCATCAGGACAGTCAGTCTGGCCATCGCACTTCCAAGTTGCTGGTATGCAGTCCTTGGCGAGAGCTGATGCCGAGTCGGCGCATGTGAAGTGATCAGCTCCACAGGCTGGCGCTGCCCTGCAGGTCCTCCCGTCCTCCGCGAGGACGAGAAATAGAGGACAAGAGCACCTGGCATTCGCCCCAGTCCCAATGCAGAAGTGGGAGCAGCCACCGTAGTCTCTGAAGGGACTGCAGACGTGCGACTCCATGACATGATCGTCAGGAGTCCTCACTGTCACCAGATCCGACAGAGCCTTATTCATCATCATTCGTCTATTGGCACCCGATGTTTTGTTCACTCGCTCCACCACCTGGTTCTCACGATTGAACCAGTAGAGGTAGTCGTTGAGGGTCGCCAAGTAGGCGATTGAGCCCTGCTCCTCGACCGAGACCAGTGCCCTGCGGTTCTTTCCATCGATTTCGCTGAATTCGATCTGTCTACCGTGCGCCCAGAATATGTGATCTGTCACAGTGTCAACCACCAGAGCTGTCGGCTGATTCAAGTCCGAAGCGATTGTTATTCTGTTCTTTCCATCCATAGCACTCTGCATTACTTTCATTTTTCCACCTATATCCGTCCAGAATAGAAGACGCCTCTCAGGGTGAACAGCGATATTTCTGGGCTTTTCGCCATCCCCTTGAACGACCACCCCGAGGGACGAACCGTTGTCCAATCTCGTGACATTTATGGCGTCACATTCTGAGCATGACCAAAAGAGAAGACGACCGAGGGGATCGAGAGCGAGATCAAAGGGATGCGATCCCGTTCCACCCGGAATTACCACTGATGCGTGGGTTCGATTTTCTAAGGCTTTACGGACTGACATGGTACGACCGTCTATCCAGTAGATGTGTTGAGTTATTGGATCAAATTCTATCGATCTCACGTTACGTATGCCTTGAACACGGAGGACTACGTCCGGGCAATCGTCAACGTCGGGGAGAAATCTTCCCATTACATTGCGGAGGCTGTATATCATGAAGTTTCGTGGAGCTAAAATTGAATTTTCTTTTTATTTGCTAGGAAATACTCTATAGAAAAAAAAATCAGTATAAATAGTATTCTATTGAAATATTCTCTGTAGAAATTTTTGCATTTCCAAATTTTCTAAAGTTTTTCTGATAGAAAGAAAATAGAAATTGAATGTAAACAAATATTATCAATGAAATTGCACTATATTTCTTCAATTTCCAAATATTCTGCAAAAACACACCCACAATCACAGGAATAGCTATAAAAATTTGTGTACAAAATATAACAAAGCAATATAACTAAACAGTCTCAACAGTTTCTGATCCTTCCTTCCCTTACTCTAGATTTAAAAAGAAAAAAAACCCTTTTATTCCTCCAGCTAAAATTACTTTCAAAACTCAACAATGGTAGTTGAAAAAGCAGAATACTCTCCAGTAAATGACCATTAAAAGAAAACATGTACATGAAAAAACACTTACCAATACATGTTTTATTATCCGCAGCGAGGTTGTAGTGAGTTGGGCAGGTGCACTTGTGTGATTGGGATGGATTGCCGCTGGGGTCGGGCAGTGCAATGCAAATATCACTGCACTCGCCATTATTAAGGGCGCAGGGATTCCATCCAGCTTGTCTCGAGGCATGAAAAACTAGGATATCAGTGACCGACTCCAATTTGTTATGAATCTTCGTTCGATTTGCCCCAGTCGTTTTGTTGGCCCTCTCAATATCCCCAGTATTCCAATCGGTCCAGTAAATGTAATCCAGATACTGAGTGATCCCAAACGGATAGACAATGTCCTGCTTGATCACTGCTCGTCTCTTGGAGGTTTTCAGATCAAAACTGTCGATAGCCGGAGTGAAAAGATCCGCCCAGTACAATTTATTGGCAGAATGATCGATTGTCAAACCGTGGGTCCTCCCAATATTCGAGATCATTATTTGTCTGGCACTTCCATCTAAACCTGCCCTCTCAATACTCCCCGACTTTCCCCACTCACTCCAGTACATGTGCCCCCTCCCAGGATCTAGGGTCAGACATCTCGGCTCAACGAGATCTTGCCAGATCAAGACTCTCCTGCTTGAGCCCTCCAGCCTTATCACCTCTATCCTCCTAGTACCCGTGTCACTCCAGTAAAGATTATGGGAGATCCAATCGACAGCCAGTCCCTCAGGTGTCTCCAGTCCCAGATCTACAATCCTCTCCACCTCCGAGCCATTGATAAAAGCCCTGGTGATAGCCTTCACCTTAACGTCAGTCCAATAGATTCTATTGTGCGCAATATCAAAGTCCAATGCACTAGCCTCCTTGACCCCTGTCACTGGTATGATATTATCATTGTTGGCATTCTCGATACTGATCCTGCCGATATTGTCCTTTCTCGAGAATAATAAAAAAGCATCAGGAACGACACAAGTCCTCTTGTCTTTGGTCAATTCGTATCCAATTTGACAAGCACAAACATAGTTGTCTCCAGGTCTGTTCAAGCACAAGTGACTGCAGCCCCCGTTGTCCCTGGCACAGGGATTTGTCCCGTCGATCTGCCCCAGATGAACAGCTTTCACCCCCATTACATTTGGTACCTGCTCAACAATAACTTGGCGATCAGATCCAGTCAGCTTATGCGCCCGATCGATACTTCGTCTCTGCCAATCAGTCCAATACAGATAATCCCCCAGAAGACTCAAGCCAAACAGATGCGGAAGATTATCTGTGATGACTTCTCGCCTGTCTGACCCATCCATATTGCACACTTCGATCTTATCCATTTTGGCGTCACACCAGTAGATCTTCTTCCGTTCTAGGTCGAGGGCTATACCATTCGGCCAAACAATGTCTTTACTGATGAGAAGAGTTCGTTCACTCCCGTCAAGATTACTCCGCTCGATCTTCGGCCGCTTCTCGTTCCAATCTGTCCAGAACATCCAGCCAAGCTGAGGTGCCAGTGCGATAGCCCTCGGCTCCAACAGATCTTCATTGATCAATACTTTCCTACTTGTACCATTCAACCTCGCCACTTCTATCCTATCTGTTCCTGTATCCGTCCAGTACATGTTCCTAGCTATCCAATCAATAGCAATGCCATCAGGATTAGTGACTTCAGTGGTAACAATGTCCTCCTGCCCCGACCCATCCAAAAATGCTCGTCTTATAGCACGCGCCTTCTCATCAGTCCAATACAGCATCTCATCAACCGGATCAAAGTCAATAGCAATGGCATGCTTAATTCCACTCAATGGTAGAACAAAATTCGTGTAATCCGGGGAATCAAGAGATAGCCTGCAGATTTCATTACGTTGGACGATGAGCAGTAGCTCCTCGGGTCTCTTTGCACACGTGTAATTATCAATGAGTTTGACCCCAGTGGGACAAGCGCAACTGTAGCCAGGTGCATCAGTACTGAGCAGGCACAGATCCGAGCAGTTGCCATTGTTATGTCGACACGGATTATCATAGTAAGGTTGTCTCCTGGGGTCCCACACCTCGATGTCCCCTGGTATGTACTCACCGTTCATCAGTTCACGTGGTGGTGATTGGGTTGTCGAGCCACTTGACCTGATCTCGTGCGAGTGGATGCAGAAGGTCTTCCAGTCGGTCCAGTAAAGCTTCTGGTCGAAAAAGGAGATTGCAAAGGGATAGGCCAAGCCCTCTTTCACAATTTTCTTCCTGTTCTTTCCATTGTAATCCATCACAGCTATGAACTTGAGCTTGCCATCAGCCCAGTAGACAAGCTCGTTGTCGTAATCTATTGTCAAGCCGTTCGGCCAGATAATGTCGTCGGAGACAATGACCTTGCGGCTGCTGGGATCGCCGTCCATCGAGGACCTCTCGATCTTCGGAACGTCCCCCCAGTCTGTCCAGAACATGATGCTTCTCATGGGGACTAGCGCTATTGCTCTAGGTTCGGAGATGTCTGTCCAGAATAGCACTTTTCTTTGCTTGTCATCGTCGATGCTCGTCACCTCGATTCGATTCTTTTCACCGTCCGTCCAGTAGAGCTTACCTGTGTACCAGTCGCAGGCTAAACCGTCTGGGGATATTAGACTCGAGTTGGCGACTGTTATTCGCTCACCCGAATGGGTGCCGTTGGTCTTTACACATTGGATCATCTCGAGGCCACTGTCTGACCAACACACGAGCCTTCTCTCCCAGAAGAAATCGAGGGCTGCACCTTGATTCAGATCCTTCACTACTGTTATCACCTTGTTACCGCGCGATGTATTCGCCACACGTATGTCCTTGGTGGTGGTGAACAAGAGGGTTGGCGAGCCTGCAAGTATAAAGGGAGAAGAGATGTTAGATTTGGGGTACATGGTGAAGATGTGTGTATTCATCGGGAAAACAACTGGAGCATCAGCATTGAATGAATAGCTGGGGACGTGTCATGGACAGATACAGGAGCAGATAAGAGCGCTAGTGGAATCAAACATGCGATTGCTATTGACTTTGATCCTGTTGCTGATGATTTTTTGTTGTTCTCGAGGAAGGGTAACATCGGCAGTAACAATAACAAGAATGAGAACAACAAGAAGCTAGTGTACATTACTATAATTCGACGTATTCCTAGGAGCAAATGGCAAACAACATTGCTAATCATTATTTTCCTCAAATTATTCTCTGCTCGGATAAATGTCCAATTTGACGTACTACGGTTTACCACTTCATACTGATGTCATTTCACTCGACATCTAAGAGGAGAGGTGAGCCCGCTCGACAGATTAATGAATGGTACTTTGTATGTGCCCAAGTTACACTTCATCCCTCGCCTTTGAGCGCCCATTACAAAAATTCTTTGGAGCTCCTGGCAACTGAGCCAACAAGCTCCTTTGCCTCATTATACACTCAAACGCATTATCCTCTCGTCGTATCACCAGAGAGCCTCTAAAGATAAAGAAAAAATTCACTTCAAAGACGTCCCTCCTAAATCATTCAATTCCCCCACTTTATGCATTTTCATTTTCAATTATCCCCCTCCTCCTGTCCATTTCTTTCTCATCCCCTCTCTCAATCACACGAACAATTGTCAAGGCGAGAAGTCCCACGGATTATCAACGCAGAGAGGAAGTGCCCAGAACAGGTGACGAGGCGTGAGATTAAACGAACAGCGAGACAAGAGTGCAAAAAACCAAATGAGAAATTCCTTTAAAAAAAACGAAAAAAACACCACCATCCGGAAATTCAAATTGCACAAGTGGATATAGGCTTTCAACTCTACCAGAAAACATACACATTTTTTTTGTTAATTAAAAATAATGACCATAGAAAATATTTTCCCGACTAGGAAAAGTAAAAAAAAATCAGAGTCGAGGGGGAAAAAGCCAGCTAAATATTTTTTATATTCTTCTGCATGCCTACGCCAATGTGGAGCAAGGGAAGAGAGAGATCTCGTTTTTAGTCCCGTGAACCTGAAGTCCTTGTCGGTTTTGTATCCTGGTTAGAGTGTATTCGTATGGTTGAGAGCCATCGAGTAAAGAAGAGGTGGAGGAGAGAAGCCTGGGGAAGGGGGAGAAAGAGAAAAAAAGGCGACGGCAGTTAGCACGCCCCAACTTGGCTTTCCATCTCATTCTCGTTCTTGGCCCCTCTCTCCCTCTCCCTCACCCTCACCCTCACCCTACTGTACCTTGTTAGCAGCCGTTAGTCTTCCGTCGACCTTATGCACACATGTGAGTATTAAATGTACATATTCTTTCCTTTGTTTTTCACTTGTTCATCGAAAATTTAAAAACAAAAAAAAATATTCCAGGTAAAGATGAAGGATGAGGTGAGAATATTACGAATGAAAATGTTGAATTGAATTCACGTCTAGACGTGATTAAATTTTAAATTAATGGCTGTCGTGAATAATAACACCGGAGTGGTGGGTAATGCAAAGCAGGTTGTGACTGATAGGGGGCAGGGGGTGGCAGAAGTGGCCCCCGAAGGCCCCGAAGGGAAGGCATGTGCATGGATTATAGGAGCTACCGAGAAACCTGAACTCTATAAAGCAACCCTAATAACCACCACTCGACTCACCGAGTGAACCTGCTAGAATCGCGAGAATATGCAAGTGGGTGAGAGGGGGTTGGTTGAAACCACCGTTGATCGCTTTTCATCACGCAGGTATATCTATTTTGTATTCCCTCGAGCTCTTCATGTGCAATTCAATTGAATTCTCCACGGAACTTGTAAGTTCCGTGGAGTCTTGCCTTGGGTATGTTATTCTTGGATATGCGATGAATCTTGCTCGTGCTTTTTCGTCATTATCTGAGGGGATATTGATTTCCCTGGCATTCCTCATATTTGCCCATTGATCTGCCTGCAAAGGGATATGGAATGCAAAAAAAATGGGGAGAAAACCGGGCAGATGGAAATAAAAAAAAAGTAATGTGAAAAATGATCGGAACGAGAAACTCGTAAAATGGAGGAGGGAAAAAGATGCCGACGGTGGTGACATTTATTTCGTCTCTAGGCTTTTTATCGAGGTGCCCACACGGAAAATTATATATATGTGGAACATATATAAATAAATCTATGATGTATATATGACACATATATTCCACATATACCTCTTATTCCATATATCCCTTTTTGATTTCACAGAAATTTCAAGGAATTTCGTCATTGAAAATCCAGCATTTCATGGAAAAATAGATTTCCAAAAATTGGAGATGGGTTTCTGAAAATGAAGACTTTTTAAATTTTAAATTTCATAAATGTTGTGAGTAGGATATAAGTAATATCTCAGTTGAAAAAATTATTACGGATAAAAAGAAGTAATGTGAAAAACTGATAGAGCCGAGAGAATAAAAAAACCCTGCGGCTTTGACTTTAATTCCACCATCTCCAGGTTTCTTTCCATCACATAATCCTCGGAAAATAAGACGTACAAAGACCGCAGAGGAGAAACACAGGCTGCGAGAAACAATGGATAAAAACGAAAGACAAAAAGAGACAAATAGAAAAAACGTGCATGGTACGAATAAATTATTTGCAGGATATTAAGATAGCCAGAAGATTAAAGAAATCCGCTGGAAGGTGTCTGTGACTAGTGTCAACGGTGCAAAAAGAGAGTAGATGAGGGTTGGGGGAAAAAATGGAAGATGAAAGAAGACGCAAAACACTGAAGAAATGACTTTAGCCCCTTTGATTCACGTGAAAACGCATGCACCTCAGGATATTATTTACATTGTGGCTTGTTAAGTGAACTGACAGTGCAAAAGGGAGATGGAAGTTGAATGGTTGACTGCAGTGAGATGAAACGAGGTGGAAAATACACTGATAAATAAGAAGGATAGAGACAGAGGGAGGGTCTACATTCCTGAGGTGAAGGTTCGGTTCCCTTCTGGCTCTCTCGCCCGCCTCTGCCTCTTCCCATCCTCTTTCAACAATCCAAGTGTAACAGCGATGGAACTAATCCAGTACAGTACACCTCGTACCCACTCGCATTGTGTTCCCTCATCGCTCCTTATATTTCATCTTGCCCCCCTCCTAACTTCTCGGGCTCTCTTTTTCACATTCGATTTTCGGTACTCAATCTGCTCTTGTTCTGTCCTCGTTGGATTTTCTATGCCGAGTGCTGGAGGAGTGAGGCGTTCAGGGCATGTATGAAGAAATTTAGTGGAAAATTTAACCATTTTTGCATAAAATCCCCTTGGAATTCTGTGAGAGTTCTATTGAAATATTATTCATTTTTTACGTCCATTTCTTTTAACAAATTATGCAGTTTTGACAAGAGACTAGGATTTTTTTTTATAGAATACAATTTCCAGAATTTTTGCATGTTTAAACACAAGAATTCGAATAGAAATCATTGTAATACAACTTATATGGAAGAACCAACATATATTGACTATTTTTATCAAATTTTTGTTGATTGAAAAATTGCACGGCAAAGTTACATAATTTTCAATAGGAATCAGAGCAAAAAATAAGCTAATATAATTTCTAATAGATTTTTAATGAATTTACGATCGAGTATCAATAAAATTCTAGTAGAATGTAATTATTCGACACGTGAATGCTGATTGTAGCAGAAAGAATCATTATTTTTTTTTTTTTTTTTTAAATATTGGACCTTCATTGCAAGTCAAAAATTCCAGCCCTAGTTTTTAAAACGATATAGGGGCGAGCGGAGTAAAATAAACACTCGTGACTTTTCTCAAATCGTAATGATTCATTGATTTTTTTAATGAAATCGAATAATTTTTCCGTTAATGGTAGGTACAATCCTTTCCTTACTATTTATATAAATGCGGGAGACCGGAATAAAACGAACACTCCCCAGAGTTTGAATCAATTTCTGGTCCAAGTGATCCACCCAATTCTATCTTAATTTCAATATTGGGGAGATCGGGGTTTATAGCGGCAAATAAATGAATAAATAAAACTGCTATCCCCACTCTTATTTTCAATCCCCCAATTAAAACCAAATCAATTAAAAAATACTAGTCTTAAGGATATCCGAGTATTTTGGCAATTTTTTTCTCCAGTGAAATGCTGTTGTACTTTTGTAGTCAAACAACAGAGTTTTTATTTAAGCCTCTATTGATAATATAATCATTTTATTATTTAATTTTTGCAGGTCTGAATTTGAATTCAACCGTTGGAAAAAATTGACAAAAATCAGAAAAAAAAATTTCCACTGTAAAAATTGACTTTATGAATAAAAAAAATTATATTTCTTGCAAAATGTAATTTGAGTGATGCCGGTTATTCGTGTTTTTTTTTTCACCATTTAATTGACAAATTTGTTCGATTTGTTTCGATCAATTTCTCGTTCAACAGATCCACTCAATTCTGTCTCAATCCCAATACTCAGGAAAATCACAACATATAATATTATAAAACTGACAATCTGCAATGGTCAATAATTAAACACTTCCAAAATAGAAATCCCCACTCTCATTTTCAATGCCCAAATCAAACCAAAACCAAATCAATCCAAATTTAAAAAATAAAAAAAAAATTAATACCGAGAGATTCTGCGAAATCAACCTGATCCCCAAAGTGGGGAACAATGAATGAAACACAAGACTATAACGTAACGTAAACAAGAACAAGAGGGGGAGAGGAGAGAGCAGTGGCATCAAAACAAATAAATAAAAACTGTTATTTACAATACTCTGCCTTCCGCCCCACCCGCAACTCCATCGTCTGCACCCCCAAAAAATTCTCGAACCCTCGGAAACCAAAGAAACAATAAAAAATAAAAAAATAAATCCTCACCATGGGCGAAAGATGCGGCAAGAGTGCACAAGATGCAGGCAGCGAGGGCGCCCCTAAATCTCCTCAGTGCCATCATAAAACTGGCGTCGAGTACATTAATAGTTACTTCACTCACTCACATTCACATTTTATCAACACTATCATTATTTCACTTCACTTCATCAATGAGTTTTTTAATCTGTCCCCCTAGAGGATTCGTTTTATTCCACGTGAAGTGACCAGTGCTCACCACAGACTGAAAACGAAATAGAGACGAACCCACGCTGTTCGGATATAAAACAGAACCAGTTGTTGCCAACCTAACGGCTATACTCTCTCAAAATGTACCTGTTTTCCGTTCTATTCAGTTGGCTGCGAGCAGCTGATCACGTCGTCGCTGGAGGCGGGAGGGGTGGGAGGACCGCACGGACTATTGTAAACGCGTCATTAGTCACCCGAGACTGCCCGAGACCTGTTATTTTCCTTATGCATTCTGCGTAGACGAGAGCTCAGTGTGTATTTTTTATCGAAAATTATTGAATTGGTGTTGGGGGAAATTTCTATCTTTTGTTGGAGTGATTGAGGGGTCATTCGTCTCGTTGCAACTGCTGTAGTGGGATCAGAGGTGAGATATGGAGGCTGCCGGCAGTTCGGAGCAGCATGATGAGTGGAAAAAGAGGGTATGTATTTTTAATTGGTTTAGGGAACGTCGTGATTTTGTCGGGGATAGGAGTGGAATTCCAAGAGTTTGTGGTTTCGTTTATCTTTTGGCTTTCAATCCACTATGATCCACAATTCCGATAAAGCCATTTTAAAACCCTGTCCGTATGTATGTGATTTTTAAAAAATTATTCAATAATCAATCGATGGAAATTAAACTTCTTCACTTTTTTCGTCGAATGTAGGTATTATTAAGCCCTATCCATGGACATCAACTAAAATTTTATTCATATATTAATTTTTACAATTTTCAAATTTTTCTCAAATTTAGGTATAAAACAGGTAGCATTTGATTTACACAAGAATTTTCAAGGAACGTATTGCTAATTTATCAGCAAAAATATCAATTTTTTTCTTTGCATTGAGATGATTGGAGAGAATAGGAAGAAGGGGGGTTTGTAATTTGTGTTGGCGATTTTTAGGCATTTTTAGGGCCTCTTCCTCCTAGTTTCTTGAGGCTGGAGGAACAGTTGACACCCCAACAGCAGCAGGAAGCCGCTGACCAACAGGCGGCTCTTGCTTTGCAGCAGCTTCAAGGAATGCCAGCTGCTGCTGCTGCTGCTCCCGGTTTGGGGAGGCTCAGTATTACCATTGTACAGGTAAAATCAGAAATTTGATGTTTTCAATTTAATTCGGGACAAAAATTGAAATTTTTAATTTTTTTCCGACCTGGAACTTTGTACGTTTATGGATGATTATCTATTATCTATTGTTAAATAGTAATTATCTTAATTAATCCAATTAAATTATAAATTCTATAATTCTAAAGACTTCATTTTCTGTTATCCAATTTAAAACATCCCAGAGGAATCGCAAAGGACATTACATGGCAAAAGAAAGTAATGTGAAAAAATTGTAGAAACGAGAACATCTTTCCTAAAAATATCTGCGGCTTTAATGTTTATTTATTTATTTATTTCCATCCATCCATCATCTCCAGGTTTCTTTTCGTCACATTATCCTCGGAAAAATGTATACATATGGGAAATGATAACAAATTTGCTTTCAGTACCTCAATAATTGCTGTTGAAATGTTGACATTCTCGTTGCAGGCGAAATTAGTTAAAAATTACGGTATGACGAGGATGGATCCATACGTGAGGTTGCGAGTTGGTCACGCGATTTACGAGACTCAGACTGCAACCAATGGAGGAAAAAACCCACACTGGAATAAAGTCATTCAATGGTAATGCTCGCAATGAGATCAAAATTTTGTAGTTTGTTTTGCAGCAGTAGCAATAGCGTTTTCTTGTTACTAGTTGGCTACCAGCTGGTGTGGACAGAATATACGTGGAAATTTATGACGAGTGTTCTTTCACAATGGATGAGCTTATTGCCTGGGGACACGTAGAAATTCCACCTCATGTCATCCAGAGGGGCGAGACCCATGAAGATTGGTACATGCTCAGTGGGAAACAGGGAGATAATCAGGAGGGGATGATTGATTTGGTCTTCAGCTACACGGTAAAGCTCACATCACAAATTTAGAGCGCAACAAGTCGTTTTTTAAATATTTTTCATTTGACGTGAAATCATCTGTTTTCTTTGAGAGTAATTTTATCACTTTGTCGCTGAACTATGAAAATAATTCCTGCAGACTAAATGCCAGCCCTACATGACTGGACCTCCAATGGTGATGGTACCAAATGCCACATCGAACTTGATGTTTGGAATGCCAGGATATTCTCCTGTCAATGTTTACACTGCACCACCAGTGGCTGCAGTGCAACAGCCCACCGTTATTGCAAGTGCCAGACCAGAAGCAGAAACTGAATTGCAGCAGGTAAATTGAAATTTTCACTGTCCTACATGTAAAAATAAAATAGATTTTTTTTTACAGTGTGTAACATTAGTTATGATGTTGCATGAAATTTTTCTATCAACAAAATTATTATATTACATCTTTCTCAGTGCATAAATGCATTTCGTGAATAATAAAACGAAATAAATAAAAAAAATACTTGTCAAAAAATTTCATGCAAATTAGGGAAATAAATAATAGATATAAAATGGCAGAAATATGCATTCACAGATCGCTGAAATGTTCCCAAATGTCGACAAAGAGGTAATAAAATCCGTCTACGACGCCAACAACGGTAAGAAAGACACCACCATAAACTCTCTACTCCAAATGTGCGAATAATTATCATTCCTATACAGCATAAAACGAAATAATTCTAATCTCCAGAACTATTTGTATTTTCTGCAAAAAAAACAGAGCAAATATGTATCCTATATTAATGTAATATATTTGTAAATTATTAAGATGCCGTTTGTTGACGTTTTGTGGATAACTGTGAAGCGAGAAAATGGGTTTTTTTAGCATTTCAAAGTTGCACAAGTACGCATAGAATTGATTTTTAATGGATTTAAACGTAAACAGCAAAAGACTCGTTGATAATTTTACACATTAATAACCCATAATGCACGTGACTATCATTATAAATCTTTTATTACAAAAACAATTTGAACAAACAAATTTACAAAGTGCATGTACATTTACAATTTTTCCTATTCTGAACGAAAGAAATATACCATTTCACCTGGAATGTAATCTAATCCTATAAAAATGTTTCATTCAACTCTTAATTATTCATTTTCTTGACTGATCAAGCCTCTATTGGGCACATTGGAGTATGTTGACACACAATTTGAATTTTTTTTTTGAAGATGAATCGTTTATATGAGAAAATAATTCTCATCAATTTCAATATTTCAATTTCTGCAAAAAAAAAAAAGAATTTTCTAGTGAATGCACCAAGGTTTTCTAGGTGAGAGACCAAAGTTTTCAATTATCTAGAAAAATCAGTAGAAAAACCACTCTCCCAACAACAAAATTTCACGAGAACTCTCAGCTGTCATAAAAATGACAAAAATAACGAGTCAAATGGACCCATTGTGCTCCCACGAGGTCAAAAAATTAGTACGTTCCTCAAAAATCAACGAGACCACATGTAGAAATAAGTTTTCTGCCAGTGTGGCAGGTACTTGACGATGGGCTCAGCTACAAATCGCGCCAAGGGGACGTTATTCGATAGTCCATCGAGGAGGGAGAGAATCCTGGCTTTGCTGCAACTATCGTAGAAAGGTGAGCGCAAAATGTACAGGAACAGATTTATCCTGCGTCTCGTAATCTCTTCCTTCTCCTCTTTCGTGTAGACTGTGTGTTTTGTTTCCTTGCTTATTATGTGGAGACTGAGTAGGTCGAGAACGAGAGCTGTCATCCAGGGAATCCAATTCTTGTTTCCTTTCATTATGAAGGCTATCAGGTGGATCATTGGTTTCATGATGTACAGAGTCTGGATGATATCATGTCACATTACATTACACTACATAATTTGTACTTTCGAATTTCAGATATCAGAATTTTGAATGTTTTAAATTTGTGAAATGTGATTCAATGTGAGTCAACTTGAGCTGAAGAGTAATTTTGAAGAAATATTTTCGAATTTGAGAGAGAAATATCTTCTTGAATTTTCAATTATTTTAAATTTTTTTCGCAATTCTCATCTTTCTGTAGTTGATAATTTCGTAATTGAATTCGTATCATTGAATGTTCAGTGAAATCTGAAATGTCATCATTTTTTTCCTCGTAAATCGAGTTAAACGACACTCTCCTAAAAATTACTAGTCAATTGTTCATGAATTTACAATTTTTTTCAACACTATCTCGTTTATATTATAGAATATTCAACAAAGAATGAAATAACGATTGCAATAAAAACCCAAAAATAATTTACCTCAGCAATCAACAGATTTCGTTTAGTGAATGGAGACTCAATCGTGATGATGTCTTCATTTTCTGGCTTGAGGGGTGACCATATTCTGGACTGAATGGGTCCAGATGCATTAACACTCCTCACAATAGTTCCCGATCGTCCTAAACGAAATCCTGCGGAATTCTGGAAGCCAGATCCCAAATTTGCAATCCCTGGCCGAGCCAATTTTTCGCGATTCAGTGGGGGAATGGGGGGAGTTTGAGTGATGCGCTCTTTGTCATGATGGACTAGAATCAGTCGCATTACAGACCTGCAATAGTCAATTAAGAGTGACTCTTCTGTAAAATTAAAAATGGATTTCTCAGAAATTTCTGAAGCACTCACTTGAACAGCTGTACTAAAAATATCACAAGCCATTTTCCTCTCTTATCCCACAACTTTGTAGCTCCAACTTCGATTAGTGCCTCTGTATATTCAATTATTGTCAGCCATATTTTGATTTGTGACTGGAACTGCGGTAAATTGAGGTGTGCGTACTTGGCGGTGTACAACAAGTGATCGTTGAGGAGGATCAAGAGATTTGGCATGGAGTAGATGAGTTCGGAGGTTAATGAGGAGCTGCCGAAGCGCCCTGGACAATATATTCCATCACGAGTGGTTAAAGTACACACCAACAAAAATTTAAGAGAAAAACCTAGCGAATTAATCGTTAGGAAATTCTATTGAAAAAAAAGTCAATAGATTTCGATTTTTATATATAATAATTTGTTCTCTTCAAATATTTCCTATAGAATTTCCAAATCTGAAATGAAAACATTCTAGAAAATCAAACATAAAAACTTGGAAAATTGACACTAGAAAAAAAGTACAGTGTCCATATTGCCCCACCTTCTCCAGCATGCTCTCGTCGACAATTTCCTCAAGAAATCCCCAATAATCCCCCAATGCAAACAAAAGCCAAAATCCCTCACGAACCTGCAGTAAAATACGATAAACATCTCACAGTGCTCTCGATGTCCGAAATAACCTGGGGTTTGCTCGTCACCCAAGTCTTGTATGCCTCCAGATAAGGCCCCACACAAGCAGGTAACGATTGTATCACCATTATCCCAACGTTCACTTACTCCAATTTCTCACTGAAACATTTACATCCATCAAATTTTCATCCAACTTTCGCGTTTTTCCTATGCCCCGGAAACCCTCTTTTTGAAGGTTATCCCCACGTAAAGGTGGATCTCCAACCGACACCACACGCAAAAAAACCTATACAAATATTATTGACCATTTAAATAGCACCTCTCAGCACTTTAAACCCCCACAATCTCGTTATTGAATTACTCTCAACTGAATTTTTAGCGTTGAACCGGGAGAACAGGCCAGCTCACAAATCTACTTGACACTTGCATCCCCCTCCCGCGGACAACTCTTTTTTTCGTGACTGTCCACTACATCGAGCAATTCCCCCTCCTCCCCGCACCGCCACTTGACTCACCACAATGTGTTTTATATGCACTTGCGGGAACGATAGAAACAGCAGTAGAGACATGACTGCGATAGCAGACGTATTACGGTCTTAAGTGCAGTTGCACTCGTGTTATTGACGTCGGAGTGCGTCGGAACGACTAATCCCCATAATACTAATCCACAAATTTTTATCCATCCAACCAATTGCCCTCGAGGATTTCCGGGCGCCAATAAAATATTTAAAATGTCGTCTCCAACCCAAGTGGTAAGTCCTCCGTTCAATCGATAGATGAGTCTTTTTAATGTTCTGCTGTTCATTCTTGTTGAGTTTTTGTTGTCTACTTCCACACGTGAAACATAAATTAAAGTGATAAAGGGAGGAATGATAAAGAGCTCCACTTGGCTGGTAGAATTTTTTTGCCATGTTTACTTATACTAAACTGCGATTAGATTGAATCACTCAGTCTTTTGTTTACAAGTAAATTGTTTAGGTGATACTGTCAAGGCATCGGTATATTTACTGGAACTTTAGGGAACTTGTTTTTGTTTTAAAAAATGTATGGGATCTGGAAATTACTATTTGATGGGTGCATGACAATTGATAGAAATGAGGAAAATTCAGCTGAATTTATTTGAGAATTTGATTGTTTTTATGCCATTTCTATTCAGTTGAGAAATTCTCATTTTTATCATTCAAATAATTCGGAATTTCATTGAATTTTCAGCGCAATTTGACATTTCATGATTTCTGCTACTAGTATCCAGGCAATTTTATTTTAAATAAATGTTTTTTATTGGATTAATAATATATATATATATATTTTTTTTTTCAACAGTCTAATAAATGAATGAATGTATTTTTTCAGCTGAAAAGCATTGGTCCGAAGCTCGTGCCATTCTTCAAAAGTGTCTGCGTGTATTTCGTGCTTTTGGCAGAACAACCGTCGTTACTCACGGCGTGTTTCAAATGTTTGCCAATAATCAGTCTTATCATATTTGTACTCCTACACGGGATGAATTTATCCGAAGAGTGAGTTGAATAATAGGACCCATCAAACATATTGAATTACACTTTTGACTTTCTTTTCTTAAGTTGATGATTCATTGCATTTCCGATGAAATGAGAAATTTTTCGATTTTTTGAATTAAGAAGATCTCTTCTACAGATATCGTAATCCTAGCATTCTAATTATACGATATGAAAATTAAATTCTACTAAATTGTTTACATTTGCCTATGTCCAATTCATATTATTTGAGAATGTGAAATTCCGAAAACCAAAATCCATGAATCTGAATTCAATTCAGGGATTTTGTGTTTTTCAGATTTCACAATGTGTAATTCGAATGGTACCTCCTACCCACAATTTAGTAGAATTGAATATGTATATTGTGTAATGAGAATGTGGAGATTAGAATTTATGTAGACATGCTCAATGGGAAACATCGAGTATTTCAACGAATTTGCCTCAATTGATGAATTTTGTTTTGGAGCAATAAACATTGCAGAAAAAGTGAAAAGTGTCCATTTTACCTCACCCCTTTTCCCACCCGTTTTGTACTCGATTAATTTTTTTTACAGGTACACATACTCGAGAAGGATATTAACTGGTCTGGTGTTCAGTTGCTTGGGTGATGCCTTTATAGTCTGGCCGCATTTCTTTTTACTGGGAATGGGAATGTTCGCTATTGCACAGATCATGTACATCACGGCGTTCGGTTTTAAACCGCTGAATCCATCGCTGGGGGTTTTCATTTTCTCCCTGTCATTACTTGGTAATTGAATGGGCCTATCAATTTGGGGATCGTTATTGCAGGGGGAACAATGCTTCTTGTTTGACATTTCAGTTCTCTATACGCTGATGCCTGGGTTGAGTGGTGTTCTGACAATAGGGGTACCGATATACACGTTTCTACTCGTAACTATGTCATGGCGAGCTGTGTCCAGAGTGCTGTTCTTCAAAGTATGGAAACATTTTTACTCTAAGGTTTAATCAAAAAAGAAATTATTTGATTCGAATGTGCAAGTCATGTCACCCTCTGTTCAAGGAACCATGGACATGGACGAAGCTCTGCAGTTGCATCGGCGGTATATTCTTCGTAATATCGGACACACTCCTAGGTCTTCACCACTGGTACCACCCAATGCCGTACGCAACGGTAAGACTACAGCCGCATTACTCATACTGAAATTAATTCAATCCCTTGTTTCATGCGTTATCATCATTTGTAAAGGTGTCAATAATGCTGACTTACTACGCGGCGCAGCTTGGAATAGCCCTCAGTGCTGTCGACTCGAGGGAAAATGCCAAACCCACTGTTAAACAGCGATAATTATTTAATTCTAATTACCTGAACGTTAAGAGAGACATCTCTTGTCTTTTTCTCTTCTGTATTAGAAAATTCCTGAGGAAAAAAACATTATTTGTTGACACTGCCACTATCTCTAGGCAGAGACTGCACTGGAGGGTATAATTAGGATCGAATTAGGGGGCAATCAAACTGGCAATGATCTCTGACGTTGGAAGGCCTTTTCATTGTTGTTGACGTAAAAAACTATTGTATTGGGTAATGTTCTAATTTGGTTTTAAATAGTACAAGGGTTTTTTCCATTCTTTCCTCTTTCATCATGCACTGTTGGGATTTTTTTTTTTTTTTAATTTAAATCATAGCTGCATTTGAACTCTGAGTTTTGTGAATTTTCATGCAGTTTGAGATAAAATCGTTTGTGAAAGTCGATAATATTGAGTTGTTGAAAATGTTTCACTTAAAATTCCAGAAGTGATTTTCTAACAGTTTCTAACTCATCATAGAAACATTAGGTTCAGAGGACGAATGTCACATCTGCTTATCGTCTAGATCGGACACGGTAATGACACAGTGATTGATTGAATAACTGGGTAGTTGAAGAAATGAAAGAATTATCTAGACTATTACGAGTGGATCACGAGATGAAACACGAATGCAAATGGAAAACCAGTGCAAAATGAACCCGAGACTATGTTTACGTAATAATTCAGTATTTTTCCGATTTTTTATTCAGATATCTTTTTTACTTTCTGTAAAACCAGTCTCCATGAAAATTAGACATTGAATCTCTCTCGACACTGATTATGTTAATTCCACGTTTGTGATGTTTAATCTCATGTAATGTAAATTAAGAATTTATCGTATGGTTAGAGAAAAAATGTTCTGCAAACATGCAACCTTCGGTACCTTTAAATCCAGATGAGAATCTATTATTAGTAATGAGAGACGGAGGGATGGCGTGACGCAGTGAACGATGTAGAGTCGGTTTGAGTGTTATTTTACGCAGGACTTTTTGGTCTATTATTTAAGGACTTCACTCTTAATTTCCATGAAATTCAGGAAGGAAGTTATTAGGTGCAATTTTAGGGTCTGTGATTTATCCAAGAGGTTTGATTCATTTCTTTTTTTATGGAGATTAGGAGGCGAGGCGAGGCGAGTCGAGGCGATGCGAGTCGAGTGGAGATACGAGTGAATAATAATTTTTTGCAATAGACTGATGGATACACTGGAGAGTAATAACTTCAATAAGATGCAGAGAATGTAAATAGATTATTTTTAATATAATACTTTCTGATTCTGAAAGTGGCATAATGTTGAATTAAATGTTCAAATCGTAGAGAAAAGTATAAATTTATTCAACTGTACGTTATTTCTAGTTCTCGATGAATAATGACAACTCATTGAGTAAATGAGGAAAAATATATTATCATTCTCTGTTGACTGAAAAACTATCCAATTATAAAGCTCAATTTTAAATTCTTCAATAGACAAAAAGTGTGCACGTAGCAGGAAGAAAAATAGAGAAATATTTTGTCGTTATGTAGACCTAGAGGGACCGGTAACATTGAATGTTGAAGTTTAAATAAATATATAGACAGAGACTACAAACAATCAACGGTGTTTCGATTCATAACAAGTGTTGAAAGCAATCTTTCTCTTCGCTAGCTCAATTTTCCTCAATAGTAACAATACTGGTAGAAATTATTACGCAATTGCTCAGTAATAATCTTACGTTTTCTTAACTTTTTTCAGTGATTTCTTCTCGCCTCTCTGCTTGCGCTTGGCAGACGGCTCTGAAGGTTCACCCCCTTCTTCATCATCCCCATCATCATCATCATCAGCTTTAAACTCGTACTTGGCCGCTAATCGCTCCCTGATCATCAGTCCTCGAATTAACTTCCTCCAATTTCCCCAGATTCGTTTGTCTCGCTTCTCCCTTGCCCTTTTGGCTGCTGCAACTTGCTCTTCCTCCCAGGCTTCTCGGAGTATATCTTCGTGCTCCTCTGGCACGATAAAACCCTCGAATGCTGGGAGGGCTCCTCTGCAACCAAAGTTGAAGCCCACACAAGCTGGTGCACAATCAATCTTCAGCTTTCTTGCTATTCTGTTTAATCCTGGCACTAAAATAAACGAAATGAGAATAATTAATAATTGTTATGGGAGGGGTGGGGCAAAATAGGCTATTCAAAATTGTCTGCTGACAAATCAACCCCATTTCCAAAGAATTGATGGCATTTTCAATTCAAGTGTAAACGGTGTTGACGGCTTTAAAATTTAACGGTAATTATGATTTACGAATATGGCTATCCCTGGTTTAAAATAGAAAATATTGACTCATCAAGTCTGGTTGATAACTGAAATCTGCCATGCTAAAATGACATGCATTAAAAATTCATACTCAATGTTATAAGTGGAATGCTTTCCACTGCTGTGTCTATTTACGAGAAAATCAATTTGAAATAGACGGTAACTCACGATCGATATGAACAGCACCCTTAGGCAGCATACACTGTTTGAACAGATCAACATTCCCGTATTCATTGCGTGGTATAATTCCATCTTTGACTTCAGGAGGTATATAAGGTGTCGTTTGCCATTGTCCAAATAGCTCGAGAGGTTCGGGGGGCAGCTTTTGTCCTGTGAACTGGATTGACAAGTCAATTTATTATATTTTGTTAAATCATTTTAATTATCGACGATTCACAATTTCAGGATAGAATAGCGAGGGATTCTTCGGAGATATATTAGTTTATTTTTGAAGAAATTGACATGTTTGGACTTTTCAACAGTCAAAATTATAATTCAAAAAATATGATTGAATGACAAGTTTATAAAATTTCTAGCAGATTTTAGCAACTGAATTGATGTTTATCTAGGGTTTCTGCCAAGTTGCTCAGTACTGTCAGAGGAACAAAAAATTAAAATACTAGAATATGTTCCCTAAACTTGTTTAATTGTTTGCTGGCCTCTTCTCCGGGGCATAAGAATTGAAACACTTTAAAAACTTGATAAAAAAACCTTGCTAATTCGCTGGACAATAAATAAATAAATAAATGAATAAATAATACCTTATCCCACTTAGGCATGGATTTAACAACTTTGTAAGCCTCAGACGCAGGTTTAACAACTCTCGCCTCCTTGTGCCAAGTTTCCCTCGACCGAAGGGTGTGCACACAATGGCGAGAGTATATGGCATCCCCAGTCTTCAGATGCCCCAGAGGAACGCAATCCGGAGGATAAAGTGCCTCAAATTTCAGCAAGTGCCTTTGAACCACGTAGAGGGGATGTCCCTTGCACTCAGCAAGAGTTTTGGGCAGTGGCTGTTCGAGCTCTTTCTGCAGGAGCATCTCGTCTTCAGCCCTGGACATGGCAGTGTCCTTCTCAGCCCAGGGAGCCAGGCTTTCCTTCCACCACTTCTCATCCACCCTGTGCTTCCTCGTGTCCGTCAACCAGTGGGGGCAGTACCTCCTCGTGATGTCCTTCAAGGTCCCTGACGAGTTCCACCCAATGATGTAGAGAACTGGACGAGGAATCTTCTTGAAGATCTCGGAGACACAGTGGATCTTCTCGTCAGGAACAGAAACGCTTATCCAACTCTCCTCGGATTCCACGTAGACCTCGACCCATAAGTATCTGGAGGGGTGTCACGCAATCCCCATTATTCTATGCGTTATTTTAGTTTGCTCTGTGTCGTTATGAAATTCGAGAGCTCGTAGGTATCAATGAATCACGCACAAAAAAAATTAATAGAAAAACCTAGCGAATTCGCAACACAATTCTATTGGATTTCTATTGACTCTTCTATTAATTTTTGGCCGATTCATTCATAAATTGAATCATTTAAAATTTAATTATACTTATACACGTTTAACATGTTTAACAAAAAAATGGATGTGTTATAGGAACTTGAACCCCAATTTTCAGAATGTTCTGTTCCAAATATTTCATTTTTAACAATAAAAAATTGTCACAGACAGAATAATTATGCAAAATGATTCTACTGAAATTAGAGCGAATAAAAACTCTGTGAATGTCATTCGTTTGTATTAGTCCATGGGTTTAATCTTCAGGAGAATTTCCGCGAGTATTAATTTTCTAGGATTAAATGACGTACAATCCTACCTAGAATCCCTCGCATCAATCTTCTCGACTTGATCCTCCTCGTCGGAAGACAAAACTCGACGATCAATACTCGATTTCCTGGAGGTAGAAGCTTTAGAATTTGCCTTACTCTCTGACCTGGGTTTCCTTTCAACATTGTCCCTAGATCTCGAAGTCTTCGAACTCTTAGCAGTGACTTTTTGCTTCTTGGGGGGACTGAAGTCAGAGTCAGAATCACTCGTCGACGCCACAGCCTCAGCTTTCTTTTTACTGCTTCTCTCAGGAACTTTTCTGAGATCCAACTTAACTTTAGATGTTGTCGATGAAGATTTTGACTCCTTCGATCCAGGTGATGTCGTTGACTCTTTTGATGAAGACAATTTCACAGAGTCCTTGGAAGAAGATGATTTTGTCGATTCTTCGGCTGAAGCTGCCCTAGTTTTTGCTGTCCCGCCAGTCTTGGATCTCAGTCGGCTAACAATAGGAGATGGTTCCAATATCTCCTCTTCAGTCTCGGTCGACTTCTGATCAGTGCCCCCAATAGACTTTCTAACAGGACTTCTCGAAAACTTGGACAAGAACACTTGAACCGCCTTCTTCTTGACGACATCCTTGGCAGCAGCCTGCCCCGCGCTGCTGTTCTCAGGGACGATCTTGGAGGGCGAGCCACTCCTCTTCTTCCTCGAGTTCCACTGGCCTTTCTTCAACACCTGCACAGCCTTCTTCCTGCTCTCCTTGTTGACTTTAGTCTTCGCCTCCTCCTTCTCCTCGATTAGGTCATTAACTCGATTAGGCACCTGGAAGAGCTGATCCCTGCGTGGTTTCATGGCTGGAGGGCACAGAGCCACAACCAATCGGCAGTTAAGCCCAATAGCCCTGAGTGTCGCCAAATAAATCAGCACCAGCTCCCTGTGATTGTGAGCCGTCCTTTTCCTGATTCTCTCGAGAAGCGTCTCCCTGGTGACCCCCACATCCCCCTTGGTGAGCTCCACCCTGATGATCTTCTTGAACCACTTGGTGAAGCCCTCCAGGTACTTCAGGTCGACTCTGCCATCTGGGCAGTACGTCTGGGGCACGAGACTCATCGCCGTCGACAGGATTTCCGAGTCGTTGACCTGGACATTGAGGTGGAATCCGTGAGCCAGCCAGCAGAGCAATCCAACCTTGTGAATGTACAGCTGACTAGACCTCAGTCTCTGGTTCATCTTCTTGATGAGTTGGGCCTCCAAATCGACCCCTCGTTTCTTCCTCCTGTTAAAGAGCAGTTCAGTCCCTGGGAGGGTGATGGCAATCCCCTCTTTGGGGATCGTGTACTTGGAGACTCCCTCTGGGGGCTTATCGTCATCATCCTCGTCGGTTTGAGTGTCGAAACTCCCCAGGCCACTCTCTCCTGCCAGCAAGTGGTTTATCTCGTCTGCCAGCTCCAGCTTCGTTTTCTTCTCTGGGGATGGGGCCGCCTTTGGGGGCAGGGCAGACACCCCAGGACTGCTCTTGGTTTCCTCTAGGTGCCTCAGGACCTCCGCCAGCAGAACCGAGGAGTCCTTCCTCTCTTCCTCAATGAAGTCATCGTCTGACGAGTCATTGGAGGATATGTAGCCTGCGGGGGCTTTGTTTGATGCAATTTTTGAGGTTGCCTGCGAGAAAAACTCACTGTCCAGGTCGATTTTGTCCGGGGAGAGGAGGTAATCGTCACTGCTGTCCGAACTCTCGTCGTCACCCATTTTTTGAGAGCTTGGAATCACTGACAAGTGATTTTTTACGCCCCAGAGGAGGATTTATTTTTCTCCGTTGTTTACGAATCGGTTACGAAATGTTTGGGGGGTACATGCGTGGAGCATGGCCCGGGAACGCGGAAACTGTGACGTCAGAGAAGCTTCGTGGACATCTTCTGGGATTTCCAGGAACTAAGCAACAAAATATATCAAATTTTTTTTTTCTTTGAATTTGACGTTTGTTCTTATTTATCTGTTTTCGTTTGCGGAGGTGATAATGAAGTAATCATCTCGGATTTATTGGGCCTTGAGTCCATATTTGAAGATAGGGAGAGTTGGAGTGAATATTTTATATTTGAGCTTTTTTCATTCAGTATTTCCATAATTAATGGTTTTTCTCGTTCGGAGTGCGTTGTCTGATCAATCGGGTGGGGAAACCACTTCGTATTTTCTTTTATTATTGCTGTAACGCTAAAAAATTGATGCATTCCTATTGTTAGTCGTGCTTATCAATCATCTCAGGGCACTCAGTGGTCAATAACTGCGATAGAATGTCCAGAGCAGAGAAACATCTCACCAAATTTTACAATTGTAGAATATTGAGAAGTGGAGAAATTATTAAAGAGCATTTGTGGGTGCGTGATGGGAGGATTGTGGATCCAGAGAAGATTTTTTATGATGAGAAAATTAAACCTGATGAGATCATTGACTGCAGGGGAGCTCTCATATCACCAGGGTTCATAGAAATGCAGATCAATGGTAAAAGAAATGAATTCTCATTCTTAATTAGGGAAGGCGGGGTAAAATGGACAATTTTGACTTTTTTAAAAAATATTCATAACTCAGAAATGGATTTATCAATTGAGATTAGTCTAAGCTCATCACAAAAAGCATTAATTGCATGAACAATTCAACACATCATGATAAAATTTAAAAAAAAATCACAAGTGTTTGTTTTACCCTATCCTCCCCTATTTTTTTTTTCTCCTCGGTGAATTGATGTTTTGAGTTGCATTCAAAGGGAATATGACATTGATATTTTGAATTGTCTTCAGGGGGATATGGCATTGACTTCTCCCACAACGTCGATCACGTGGAGGAGGGCGTCAGCAAAGTAGCTAAGGAGCTCTTGGCACATGGGGTGACCTCATTCTGTCCAACTCTAGTGACATCTTCTGCGGAAACTTATCGCAAGGTCCTCCCGAAGATCAAGAAGACTGATGGAGGCCCTCAGGGCGCTGGGATTCTTGGAGTCCACGTGGAGGGGCCTTTTATTAGCCCGAATAAAAAGGGAGCACACGAGGAATTCTATATCAAACGATTCGATGAAGTAAAGATTAAAAAAATAAAGAGCACGAAAAGACTTCATGAAATTGAAATTGTATTGATAGTTGCTATTTTTTCTTTGTCGATATTATTGAAAAATGGAGTAGCTTTCCTACGTGCATTGCGAGTAGAAATGTTCAATGAAAAATATTTTATCAAGGAAATGTTTCTATGCAATTTACTATAAAAAATCCTCTGTTAGACTTTTTTTACATTTTTTTGCTTGAATTGTTTAAGAGAGAAAAAAAAATGCAGTGAAAGATATATATTTCGAAAATTAATGCCGAGGAATTTCTACAAAAAATACCTCAATGGAATTAATTGTACTGATGAATCAGTTGAAAAATAATTTTAATCTAATTAATATTAATGACTGTTTTAGGGATTCAACACTCTCATGGATGTTTATGGAAGCCTCGAGAACATATGTTACCTTACTCTGGCTCCAGAACTGCTCAATGCCTGTGATGTTATCGAGGAATTGTGCAGTAGAAACATCAAAGTTTCTGTAGGTGAGGCAAATAAAATAATTCCCTATATTTTTATACCTTTAAAATTAGATTTTTGTTTTGATGGAGGGCATTGATTAATTTTCAGGCCACTCGACAGCCAATCTGAAAGAAGGTGAAGAGGCAGTGAGAGTTGGTGCATCCTTCATCACTCATTTATTCAATGCAATGCTGCCAGTATGTAAATCCTTTATTGACCTTTTTTTTTATTTCCTCAAGGGTTTGTTCCCTCGATATTTTCCACTTTTATAACTGATTTAAAAAAAAGCACTTTGATTCTACTTTTATGTAATTAATAATTTTCTTCAATTTTGTCAACTAAAAATTTTATTTTATTTCGTTTAACATTCATAAAGATTTCTTCTTTACATTCTTCAAATCTTTAAATTGGGAAAGCCTTTTCTCAACTGATAATACTACTAAGCCTTTTTTTTTCGTAATTTAGTTTCATCACAGAGATCCAGGACTAGTGGGTCTCTTGACATCCGATCAAATTCCTCCATCTAAAAAAGTTCATTTCGGAATAATTGCCGATGGTATTCACACTCATCCTGCTGCCTTACGAATAGCCCACAGAACTGATCCAGAAGGTATTTTATTAATTAGTCTCCAATTTCGAAAATTAATTCGTATATTATTATAAATAAAATTATCATAAATTCGTAATTTATTAGGTGTGGTAATTAATTTTTGAGTCTTCTTAAATTTAATTTTTCCAATGGATATTCGATTTTCTCATCATAAAATCTATCTGTTCCTAGGAAGTATGATAAAAACTTCTGGATTGATTAAAAACAAATTCATTTTTTAATCAATAACAACAGCTCTTTTCACTAAAACATTCTTTGAAACATTCTTTGAAATTAATTACCACACCTTATATTTTTGTTTTCTCCAGGGCTTGTACTGGTGACCGATGCTATTTCCGCTCTGGGTCTCCGAGAGGGTCTCCACAGGCTTGGACAACAGGATATTGAGGTCAGGGGTGGACGTGCGTACATTGCCAGGACGGATACATTATGCGGAAGCACTGCCGAGATGTCTGAATGTGTTAGATTCTTCAAACAAGCCACAGGTGATGAAGAATTAGGATTTTACTTTCCATTTTTCAATGGAATAATTTATTTTTAAATTGAATGTGTTTTGTTTTTTTACTATAAAAAGCTCAATTAATAATTAATAATCTCTTTTCACTGTTTGATCTTCAATGACGAACATCCTCATGCAAAAGTCCAATTGTAAAAAGATGATAATATTTTTCACAATATTTTTCTCACGCAATTTAATTGACAAATTTAATGATTAGTAATGGTTGAATCTATAGTCTGGGCTGTACCAAACTGTAACAGATACTTGGATATCCTTAATGAATTAATCATCGTCACAGGTTGCACAACAGTGGATGCTCTGGAAGCAGCTACTCTGCACCCAGCCAGGGCTTTAGATCTCGAAAAACGTAAGGGTGTCCTTGAATTCGGTGCTGATGCTGATTTCATAATGCTTAATGATCACTTGGACGTACTATCAACTTGGATTGCTGGAGAGCGAGTTTATGTGAACGTGAAATCTCTAGCTTCTGATCGAGCCGAGCTCGCACGACAAGGGACTCCCGAACACTTATAAAAATCCTACAGCCTAATGCATTTATTTCTGAGGAAAAGTTTCTACTCGAAGATTCATGACTATTTTTATAACCAATGATGACGAATTTCGGAGGTTTTTACAATGATAAAACAATCTTTATTCTCTACTGAATATGATGAAATAAAAAATTGTGATATAGGCACAGTAATTAATTGTTAAAATATTGAAAGCATTATTTAGTGAAGAGGAAGATGTTTCAGTTAATATGTTATCTAGAAAACGCATCATGATTCTCAGATTTTCAAAACCTGATTTTTTTTTTTTTAATAAAACAAAAGCAATTTCTCTAGTGTTTCCGAGCTATTCAAGCTGTTCAAGTACTGTTCATTAATTTTGGGGAGAAAAATAAAATGTGAATGTGTGGTGTCAGTCAAAAATTAGAAGAGACGTTGAGTGAAGTCATGATGTTTGGAAACCTTCGACGGTCGTTCAGTATGAGGATACAGTGTCCTTCAGATTGCAGATGTACTGTGAGTGCCTGATGCCGAATGTGTGAGCTGGGGGTATATCCAGGACCACCTGAAATAGTTGAGCATTGCGAGTTTCTGTTTTTTTCTTCACTCGAAAATCCTTGAAATTTAAGTTTAATTTATCTTTGGATTTTTAGGTTTTGTCTGAAAATATTCGATTTAAAAATTCAATGCGTTTTTTTTTAAACACAAGACCAATATTTCCATGAAAAACGTAAATATTCATGTTGACGAATGGAATTGTCCTTTACTTTTTCTGGACAATAAGCTCCAGGCGCTGGAATCTTCGACTGATCACTGGGGATTTGATAGCGTCCACTTATGCTGTAAGCAGCACTTTTAGCTCTGACAATATCTGTTCTGATGGATTCGTAAGCCCCTGGTCCTGGAACGAGTACTCGATCGTCTGTGAATACTTTTTGCCTCCCTGATATTGAGTAGGCTGGTGCGGTTTTCTTGTTTCCTTCTTTAGTGCCACCCAGGGCTGAGGGAATTGTGTAGACGTTTGGAGCTTTAAAACGTAAATTCACTTCAATCAATGAACCCTATTTCAAATGTAAACACGGGAGGATTTTTTTTTTTAGTAGAAAAAAATGATTTCCACAATCCCAGAAAAAAGGGGTAAATAATGATGATAATGATGATAACAATACCTGGAGTATTTTCGTCTTTGCTCATGGGTGGCTTCAATCCAAACGTGAATTGCATCGCTTTCTCCCAAATTAATTTTGCATTCTCTGGACTATAGTGTCCTGGTCCTTCAATGTGAAATTACAAACACGATACAATGTTTGGAATCATCTAAACTACAGATAATGGCTCAGCCCAGCAATCTTCAGTATATTTTCAAAATATGGAAGCTTTGGTGTCATTAATATGAAAAATATTAATAAGTAGAATTCATTAATTTAATACTACAAAAAAACAAATAATAATAATGAAGAAATAATCGCGATGAAAAAATTAGTAAAAAATGCCTTTTGTTACGTAAAACAACTGTTAAAATGAAAAATAAAACCAATGAAAATGGCTTTAACTATCGGGCTTTTGAAAACAATCTAGTGAATGAGTTTTACCTGGCACATCTGCAGGCTTCTCCACAATATGCTTGCCACTGAGACTGAACTCAGGTCCTCTATTAAAATTCACCTTCTCAGGGGAATAAACTCCAGGAGCTAAAATAATGAATCCTCTAAATATTCTCTACCTAAAGTGCGAAATTTACAGAATCACAAAAGCTTTAGTTGTTAGTCTTCTCAATAATTACCAGGCGTATCGCTGGGCTTCTCCACTTGAGTTTTCACCCCAAAACTGTACTGGGGAGAACCGTCAATTTTGGCTTTTTCGGGAGAATACGAACCAGGGGCTAGATTTAAAATAATAATATTTAATTCTGCGGGCAAGAATAGACAACTTGAGACCGTTACATGTTCTCATTCATCGAAAATTCCCTCACCTGGAAAGGGATTGGACTGATAGAGAGAGTGTTTTACACCAAAGCTGTACTTGGGTGAACCATCAAGATGTGTGTAGGATTTATCGGGTGAGTAAGTACCAGGTGCTAAAATATATTCCAAAATAGACGGTTAATTGCTACTGTTTTTGGAGGGATAAACCTGGACCATTGGGGTTTTCTATGTTTTTTTTTTATCATTTGAAAAGTGAAGAATACGAGGAAGTAAAGAAATAAATAAATAAATAAATAAATAAATAAATGCATAAAAACACCGTGGATTTGATGGAAAATATTGTGAAATTTTCTTTGAACTTGGGTTAGAACATGTCCAATAGAAACTACTTTATAGAAAAAATCAGTAGAGTTCGTTAGAAAATTGTATCGGATTTCTATTGAACATGTCAGTAGAGTTGGCCAAAAAATAATAGAGATTTCAATAGAAATTGAATAGAATTTTTTAATGAATGCGCCAAGGTTTTTCTATTAAATTTTTTTTCGTGCGTTAAGCAAAGAATGTCTCAATAGCATGGCACAGTTTTATAGAAATATCAAATTCTATTAAAAGTTGTGGAATTTTTTCACTTTAAAAAACATTAAGGAGAAAATTATAGATTTGCATTTCATGGTTTTTATGAATAAAAAATCCATTGAAAACCCCAATTGGCATAAATTATCAAATGAACTAACTGAAGATTTACGTAAAAGTATAGTTAGATGTGAAATGTTGTTTCCGAGGACGTTAGTCACTGGTTAGTAAACACCATTACCTGGAGTGTCTCTAGGTTTACTCAGTCGAGTTCTATTACCAAAGCTGTAATAAGGCATATGATCCAGACTTTTTATTTTCTCGGGGTAGTATTGACCTGGGCCTGATGGTCAGTAATAAATTGATTTCACTCATTGAGTTAATTTCTAGAGTCTACTATTTAACTATTGCATTCCTCTAAAAAAACTACATTATCTCGCTCTTGTCAAACCTGGAGTATTGTTGGGCTTCTCGGAGGGACCTTTTCCACTCAGAGAATACTCCGGGCCTCTGTGCAAATTGTATTTTTCTGGTGAGTAAGCTCCAGGGGCTGGAGTGTCACTGGGCTTATCTAGAGGTGTTTTCAAGCCAAAACTGTACTGGGGGGTGTGATCCAAATGTACTTTTTCCGGGCTGTATGCCCCTGGGGCTATTGATAAAAAGGTTTTATGATATTAACATTTTTATTTCTACTTTTATTGAAATACTCTTTTGAAATTTCACTGGCGAAGCGGTAAAACGGTTAGTTTTCAATGAACATCTCGGAATCTAAGGAAGATAGCAAATTTTTTTTTATAATCCTTTTTGTAGGGCGAATTGAGAGCTACGAAAAAAGGTAATAATTCGGAGATTTTCTGCAAAAACTCAGCTGAGAGCTAAATTGACTTAGACCCTTTTACTGCTTTACGGCTTTATTTTTTTCGATAAAAATTTTCAGATATAAATTTTTGAAGCTTTTTATATTGTATTTTTTAGAGAAAACGTTTCAACAGAACAACACGCACGAAAAAAATTAATAGAAAAAAAACTTTGCGAATTCGCTAGACATTTCGTTTCAATAGATTTTGGTAAAAAAGATACAGAATTGATGAGAATTTAAACGATCTACCTGGAGTATTATTTAGCTTCTCTGGAAGCCCTTTTCCACTCAAACTATACTCAGGACCTTTATGTAAATTAATTTTCTCTGGGCAGTACGCCCCGGGAGCTGGAGTGTCATTGGACTTTTCTAGAGGTATTCTCAAGCCAAAGCTGTACTGGGGATGGTGATCCAAATCTACTTTTTCAGGGCTATACGTGCCTGGAGCTTTTTCGGGATAGAAGAATATAAATAGAAATTTATTCACGAGAAAATAGGAAAAAAGACCAGTATATCGTACCTGGAGTGTCATCTAACTTTGGAGAGAGACCTTTTCCTGTTAAACTGTACTCTGGACCCTTGTGCAAATTAATTTTCTCTGGACAATAAGCTCCTGGAGCTGGAGTGTCATTAAGCTTTGCGGAAGGGCTTTTTCCACTTAAACTGTATTCAGGGCCTTTATGTAGATTAATCTTCTCTGGAAAATAGGCTCCAGGGGCTGGAGTGTCATCTGATTTTGGTAAATGACCTTTACCACTTAAACTATACTCTGGACCTTTGTGTAAATTCACTTTTTCTGGGCAGTAAGCTCCAGGAGCTGGAGTGTCATTGAATTTTTCTGAGAGGCCTTTACCGCTTAAACTGTATTCAGGCCCTTTATGCAGATTAATCTTCTCTGGAAAATATGCTCCAGGGGCTGGAGTGTCGTCTGATTTAGGTAAATAACCTTTTCCACTTAAACTATACTCTGGACCTTTGTGTAAATTCACTTTTTCCGGGCAGTAAGCTCCTGGAGCTGGAGTGTCATTAATCTTTTCGGAAGGGCCTTTTCCACTTAAACTGTACTCAGGCCCTTTATGGAGGTTGATTTTTTCGGGAAAATATGCTCCAGGGGCTGGAGTATCGTCTGATTTTGGTAAATGACCTTTACCACTTAAACTATACTCTGGACCTTTGTGTAAATTGACTTTTTCTGGACAGTAGGTTCCTGGAGCTGGAGTGTCATTGAGTTTTTCAGAGAGGCCTTTTCCACTTAAACTGTACTCAGGGCCTTTATGCAGATTAATTCGTTCTGGAGAATAGGCTCCAGGGGCTGGAGTGTCACTGGGCTTGTCGACAGGTGTTCTAAGACCAAAAGTGTATTGTGGGTGATGATCGAGATTGACTTTCTCAGGACTGTACGCGCCCGGGGCTGAATAGAAATGATTCCAAATAAATGAAAAAGTAAAATAAACTACGTTAATCGAGACAAAGATGATCAGGTCAAAATGAAAAATACCTGGAGTATTAATGGGCTTGCCTGCCAGTCCTTTTCCGCTCAAACTAAATTCAGGACCTTTATGCAAATTAACTCTCTCTGGGCAGTAGGCACCAGGGGCTGGAGTATCGTTAGGCTTACTAACGGGGGTTCTCAAGCCAAAAGAGTATTGCGGCTGGTGGTCCAGATTAACTTTTTCGGGGCAGTATGATCCTGGGGCTGAATGAATTATCACACATTTCAAAAATGATACAAAATGAAAATAAGAAGTAAAATGTGAAACCTGTTCTACTGCAACTAGGGGATCTACATCGATCTAACTGGAATTTGTAAATAATTTAATTTACCTGGAGTATCACTGATTTTACCCAAAGACAGTCTACGACCAAACGTAAACTCTGGAGTTCTATCCAATTTAAATCTCTCTGGGTAGTAAGACCCAGGCGCTAAACATTAAATCAACTACTTCAAGCATTCACTCAATTATGGTACGAATGAAAGAATTCACGAGAAAATCATATTTGTTCTATTGAAATTCCAATAAAATAATTTTTTTGCTGCATTTCATTGACAGCAACAACACAAGAAAATAAAATTAAAGAATTTACATATGGATTTATTTATATTTAAAATGATCAAAATGATTTTTAAAGGACAATATAAATTCTTTAATTCTCATTATTAAAGTTTTTTTTTCTGCCAAATAAATAAAATATAAATTTTATCCTGAATTCTTTCAATCATGAAAGAAAATAAAATATTCACTCGAAGCAGAAAAATTGATTAGTCGATGATGAAAAAAGCACAATGAGTGAGAGAAGTGCATAAAATAAAAGTATGAAAGCAGGTTTAATGATTGAGATGAAATACCAAACCCTGAATAGCGATGATGGCAATTTCGTTACGTCTTCCACCACCACCACCGGTCATCCGTAAAACTGCGCTCTGAATTATATAAATCGAATACCATCACAAATGACCCATCAATTTTCCGCGTCATAGTTAACATAGACTTATCCATCAATCTTCGAACTAATCGGGAATTGAGTGATGAACTGTTATTAATTGTCGATTTTTTTTTTTCGTCAATTTTTTGAATATTTACCCGGAGTGTCATTACGCCTCTCCCCAGTGTGTCTCATGCCAAATGTGTATTGCGGTGCTTTGTCGAGGATTGCGCTCTCAGCGCAGTAATCACCGGGTGCTGATTGTTCATTGATTTTGCAATTAATTGTTGTTTTTATTGAAAATTGAAAATAAAAAAAATTGATTATGATTTTTGTGGGATTGTGGAAAATATGAGACTGTAATTGGGGGAGAAATATTATCATCAAGTGGAGAAATATCAAGAGTTTGGAAAAATTTGTCGATTTATTCTTAAAATGTGAAAAAATCCAATAGAATTGTCTAGCTGTATTAAATTAATTCAAAAATGAAATGAAAATTAAATTAAAAAAATATTTCGTTGATGAAAATTATATCAACGAAATATTCCTTCAATTCCGATAATTCTTCTTCCCAATAAAAAAATTAAAGATAATGATTTCCCTTCATTTCCGTTACCTGGAGTGCTATTAATTTTCTCAGTCTGTGTTTTTATTCCAAACGAGTATTTCGGCGAGCTGTCTTGAATAATTTTCTCTGCCTTTTGTGGATCGTAGTCGCCAGGGGCCGGAGTACTTTCGATCTTGTCGGTATGAGTACGGCCATGAAGGGACAATGCTGGTGCTTTGTCCTTACCTAAAATTAATTTGTCCCCCGAATGGCTAATGAATTTCGTAATCCATTCACGCACATTTTATGAAAAAATTCGATAGAAAAACGTTGCGTTTTTTGCGAAAAAAATTCTATTCAAGTTCTATTGAAATTTGACCGGAAAATTCTATTTATTTTTTCTGCCATTTGTACAGAAGATCATGCAACTTTACCGCCGTATCATTAGGGATATTTTATAGTAAAAAAGTCTATAGATTTTTATTTTTCCATAGAAATCTTTGTGTGTAAATTTTCCGCTTTATTTTTATTTTTTGTTTCTCATAATAAAATCCGAGAACAAAAAATACAAAATTGATCAACTAAGATAAGTGCATTTAAATGTGGAAATGTCACTAATATTGTCTCCGTTGATTCCGAGGCAATCAATGTGCGCACGCCTAGAGCCTCCCGAGTCGAGGATTTGGTTCTGATTAGACGTACACAGGTCTTTCAAGATCTCTCCAGACCTAGATGGACCTGGTAAGTCCTAATCAGTTCTGTGACGTACTTTTCCAGAGACCTTTCGAATCCTCAGTTCTTTTCGGTCCTGAGAAGTCCTCCTCGATGCTACCGAGAACGNGGAGGGTTGAAATTTGTAGCCAACGAGGAGACAGGGTTGCAGAATATATTTTAGCCACCCTCATCTCCCCGTTTGCCGGCGGTGTTTAAATAAAAAATAGTGAAGGCTGATTCTGTATTTATTTACCCCCTGATGCCAATGAAACCCTCGTAGGTGACAGAAAAGGGAAAAAAAAATTTTCATTTTCACGTGGGTCAAAAGTGAAAGTCGATTTTCGCCAAAATTGAATTTTTTCGCCAAGTGAAAGTTGATTCTGTATTTTCTAACAATTCTGATGCCAATGAAACCCCCGAAGGCGCGACAAAAGTCGAAATAAAATTTTTTTTTTCACCCCGAGCCAAAGAGTCAGATTTTCTGTTTTTCCAGAGGGAAAGTCGACTTTCCCCAAAATTGAATTTTATCGCCAAGTGAAAGTTGATTCTGTATTTTCTAACAATTCTGATGCCAATGAAACCCCCGAAGGCGCGACAAAAGTCGAAATAAAATTTTTTTTTTCACCCCGAGCCAAAGAGTCAGATTTTCTGTTTTTCCAGAGGGAAAGTCGACTTTTGCCAAAATCGAATTTTTTAGCCGGGTGAACGTTGGG